CTTATTATTTATTTTATTGAAATACTAATTTATACTACATTCATTTATTTTACTTATATCAAAACTGGCAAAAGTGATACTAGTTTACTTTGCGTACTTTCTTGCTAGTTAATAAAATAAGTATTTAGAAGGATCGTTTACATATAATAAGAAAACACTAAAGATAGTAAGATAGTCCCCTGTGGCACACCACTTGCAACAGTGGTTTTAGACGATCTACAGTCATTAACCAAGAAAGTACGACCTTTCAAGTAAGAGTTAAACCAACGATCTGGGGCACCTTACCTTTTGTACGGGTGCCGCTTACAGGCGGCGCGCCCAAGATTCTGAGGTGAAGGTAGTCTCTCTTTTAAAATGTCGGTCATTTATCCAAATTATTGTTGCAGGTTATTTTTGTAGTGACATTTGTTTTGAAATAGGCCAAATTATGGGGCTACCCTCTCCCTCAGAGCTTACAGGCGGCGCGCCCAAGTTTCTGAGGTGATGGTAGTCTCTCTTTTGAAATTATAATTGTAGGTAATTTTTGTAGTGTCATTTGTTTTTGAAAAAGGCCAAATTAATTATGAGGCTACCCTCTCCCTCAGAGCTTACAGGCGGCGCGCCCAAGATTCTGAGGTGATGGTAGTCTCTCTTTTAAAATGTCGGTCATTTATCCTAATTATTATTGTAGGTTATTTTTGTATTATCATTTGTTTCTGAAATAGGCCAAATTATGGGGTTTCCCTCTCCCTCAGAGCTAACAGGCGGCGCGCCCAAGATTCTGAGGTGATGGTAGTCCGCTCTCTTTTGAAATGTCGCTCATTATCCAAATTATTATTGTAGGTCATCTTTGTACTGTCATTTATTTTGAAATAGGCCAAATTATGGGGCTACCCTCTCCCTCAGAGCTTACAGGCGGCGCGCCCAAGATTCTGAGGTGATGGTAGTCTCTCTTTTGAAATTATAATTGTAGGTTCTTTTAGTAGTGTCATTTGTTTTTAAATAGGCCAAATTATGGGGTTTCCCTTTCCCTCAGAGCTTACAGGCGGCGCGCCCAATGATTCTGAGGTGATAATAGTCTCTCTTTTGAAATGTCGCTCATTATCCCAATTATAATTGTAGGCAATTTTTGTAGTGTCATTTGTTTTTGAAATAGGCCAAATTAATTATGGGGCTACCCTCTCCCTCAGAGCTTACAGGCGGCGCGCCCAAGATTCTGAGGTGATGGTAGTCTGTCTTTTGAAATTATAATTGTAGGAATTGTAGGTTATTTTAGTAGTGTCATTTGTTTTTAAATAGGCCAAATTATGGGGCTTCCCTCTCCCTCAGAGCTTACAGGCGGCGCACCCAAGATTCTGAGGTGATGGTAGTCTCTCTTTTGAAATGTCGCTCATTATCCAAATTATTATTGTAGGTCATCTTTATACTGTCATTTATTTTGAAATAGGCCAAATTATGGGGCTACGCTCTCCCTCACAGCTTACAGGCGGCGCGCCCAAGATTCTGAGGTGAAGGTTGTCTCTCTTTTAAACTGTCAGTCATCAACCATAGTATTATTGAATTTTCATTTTCCAGAGTTCATAGTGGCACCTTCTTTATAGTTTTACGTGATTTGTGGCAAAGACAAGACCAGGCTAACAAATTTATTCTACTTTATGCGTGGTGCGACAATCACTAGGCTGACTGGCCTCCAAAGTTCCTTTATAATTTGGACGCTTCTCAGGAGTTCCTTTACTGGTTGTAATCCAGAATTGGCGATTCACAGCAGCTTGAAGCTCTTGCATTGCATCAGTTGTTCTTGGACGGCCACCTTTTCTTGTCCCGAGTGCAATATCGATTCTCGATTCTCGACTCTCGATTACCGTATCTTGCTCGTGCAAGGCTTCGGCAACGGGACCAGTACTAAGACCATTGCAGGAAAACTGTTTGGTAAAATGGTGGCTTTCGGTGCGTTACCTGTCTGATGCTCGGTATATCACTGCCAAACTGCGCAACAGAATGCGCAAAAAACCCCTCCGGTACTTGAGAAAATACGATTTTTAATATCCACCTAAAAACCTGAGCGATGTGATTTAGTAACTTATTCATGGTGTTCAGCTTCTGGTTTATTCAGCTTATTGCCAGTTGTAGGCAAAGTTCCCGCGCACATTATCGCACTCTAACTGGGTCGATTGTGAGGAAACTCTTATGTCAGTCATTGACAAAAAAAAAAAAACCCCGCGCGTTAAGCCTTTGTGCGACGGACGTCCCTTAGAAATATAAATTGCCCACACTGATCGCCAATTCTACTTGCAAAGTGTTGCTGATTGAGTTGTGTAATGTATTCTAGAGGGTAAATTTAGTACTAACCTCGCAGACAAGGATGTAATGAGACATTTATTTGCGTAGTTAGGCCTGATATCCATTGGGCAAGCATCCCTTTTATTTTCTTTCGATAGCCTGTCCATGCACTAACCTTTGGACCTTTGGGCACCGAAACTAGCTGCCTCTCGCTGTACCAAAACTTGATAGTTTTGGCGTTCAATCTTTTAAACGGGTGCTCACAAAACACCAGGACTGCATCGTGCGCCTTTGGCGCTTTGGTACCCTGCCGGCTTTGGTTCATCGCGTTTTGGAAGATGGAAATTTTGATATTACCGCGTAAAAGAAGACTGATAAGACGTGTCTTTCATTGACTACAGTGAAACGCCCGGAAATGAAGGATGTTTTAAAAGAAACGGGAAAACTGATAAAAGTAAATATTTGTTTTGATAAGTGAAATTAATGAGAAATAACCATAGACTAGTTTTGGTTTTTGGTTTTTTAAAAGCGGTTTGTCTGGTACCAGATTTGTACAATTACTTTCAATCAAACATGGATCGGGTTTTGTTAATTATGACAGAATGTAATTAAAAAGCATTATGTTGACAGCTACAAGGCACATGCTTGCCTTAAGCTACGGGTATCCCGCCATGTTTTAAACAAAGGGCTTCCGACCAAGGCGGCATTCTAATCCGCCACAAATATTTGAAGCACGCGTCTTTCAAAGTCGCCTAGTACTTAAAATCAGGGCCCTGGCCTGTTAAATGCAGAACTATTGAAACCTCTATCTTGAAATCAACACAGTGTCGAGACTTTCGAGAAACGGGCCCCAGGACATGAAAAAACATAGTGTTATATATCAAAGAGTTAGCGTTTGATAAGAGACCGAGTTCTTGGTAAGGAAGTATCTTCCATATTTAGCAAATTTAATAGCTAACTAGAAACCGACATATTTTAGTTATGTGCCAATGTAGTTACCGTAACTCCCAGAAGTCTGTAGGTATAAAGTCAGGCTCTCGCTTTACGGCGAATGTCACCAATACAAGTGGCCAATAAAATTACAACGCCGCTGCTAACCGCTAAAATAACCTTTTTGTTTGAAATTCTTATCGTTTGACGATTCAGGTCTCGCTCCAGTTTCTGTTCAAGAGCTTTCGTACTAAAAACTGATGTTTCGAATATTGATAGCTGACAAGTGCGTTTTAGATATTGAAATCATACTGTTTCGCTAGAATTACCTTTTTCTATATCAATAATTACTGTAATTTGACAATTTTTTTTCGTAGACTTGCTGTCTCACTACATGAGACAAAATGAGCGCCAGCACACTGTTAGGGATGCTCGGTCAAATTCGAGGTGTAATATAGTATTCCCGGGGAAGGGGTAATCGACCAACATTTTGGTAAAGCTGAGTAACGGAGAGTTTGAAACCCTGACCCTGTTTAGGACAAAACCCTCGAGTTAACTCGAGAGAGAGGACGTGGACACAGTTTAGGAAAGACTTGCGCGAAATTGCATACCCTGGTAAGGGCAGACTCGCGCAATTTTGGACAGAGAGGTCAAGAACCATACCCTGTCCAGCGGCTCATACCTCCCCCATAAAGTCCATATAAGGGAGTACCCCCCCGGGCAGAGCATTACCATTACAATCCAGACGATGAACCTATAGTCACTGTGCAATCATGATTTGAGTACAAAGGCCGCTTTCATCCCGCCGCGACGTGTTGCTGAGACAAGTCGCTTTATGTGTTGAAACAGTGGTGTTAAATAACAAGGAACTTTAAAGGGCCTATGCAAAAATATTTCGGTTTTGCCTTGCGCGCTTCAGATTCGAATTTACTGAGTTCCAACTGTGTTATTTTCTTCACCTATTCTACCAAGTGAAATAAGGAAAATGAGCACCAGCACACTGATAGAAGTGTTTGGACACATTTTGTACAGTTTTACTAGAGGTGTGACTGAACATTACAATCCAGATAAACCTGAATTTACCGCAGATTTATTTGGTTACAATTCTCTGGAAAGTACAGGACGAGAATGGTACTGTCATCCTGTTGATGAACTTATTTACCAAGAATACAGCGACAGAGAAGCCACAAGCTTAGATTATCTGGCTTCTTGTAGTTTTGATGTTAAAGTAACTGACGCCTGCTCAACAGAAAAAAACGAAGAAACCCAGGAAGCTTTGAAACAAAGTAAAGACCAAACCATGGCTTGGAAGCGACTGCGACCTTCTCTTCTGCAAACAGTTTTTCAATCTATATACATTGGAGCTCTGATTTCACTTTTAATGGCTATCTTCGTAGGAACAATTTTTACGATGGAATTGTATTTATTTTTGAAAACTGCACACAACTGTGAATACAACACTGTGAACTCAACGTCAATACAAATACAGTGGATAAGATCAGTTTCGGATATAATTGCTTGTAGTTTTAATTATTTTTGGTTTTTTATTCTCGTGCTGTTTCTTTTTCGTCCCTTTCAGTTGAAGGGGATCAGACGAAAACTTTTCCTGGTGTGCTTAATTTCATATGCTTTGGACACAATTTATCGTGTTGCTCTCCAAGGTCTTGGTATATCTCATTCCCATATTTCTTATCCATTAAGACTTCCGCTCAAGGCTTTTTTTTTCAGCAATCAGTGTCTGCAAGTTTATATTTTAACAAAGTACCTCTGCCCAGGTTCACGAAAGAAATTAGTTTTATTTTTCAAAATGATAGTACCAAGTTCTTTGGGTCTCTTATAGCTGCCATCCTTGGGGTGTACTTACTTATATACCCAGCATACATGAAAGAAAATTCAAATGGGAAACTTTTAATTGCAACCTTTTCTCCTCTCCTCGGAGTTGTGGTAAAAGTAGCCTCTCGTATTTGTGTTCAAAAGTTGTATATCACTCATCCGGGATACTCGTACGTCTTATTTTCACCGGTCTATTGTGGGGCGGCTGTCCTTTTTCGAGTTTTGCAAGCGGATCTTGGCAGTTTACAAGCCATAGCATTACTTGGAATAATTCACGGTGCTGCAGAAGTCATTGAAAGAAGCACTATGGTTTTAATTGATCACATTTGTCATATGTTGTGGAAGAGAAGGTCCGCTCCTTGGGGAAGTTTTCGTACTCCTCGTCGTGAGAGACTAATGGCTGATATCGCTATCATGAGCATGTTGTATGAATCTGCTGCTATAGTGTCGGTGAATGGATTCGTATACTTATATCAGTTCATTTATGTAAGGGAAGAGAAATTGAACAATTTACTTCTGTTCAGATTTGCAATTAATACGGCAGTTTCCCTTGCGATTGAGTGGGTGTTTAACAGCGTGTCTCTAGCGATTGAGAGTCGGTATCAAAACATGGCTGTCATGGCTGTTTGGCGAAGACGATGGAGGCGACACCTTCTAGTGGCGATTGCAAATGCGATTCCAATTGCTTTGTTTACAGGCGGTACTCTCTTAGATATTTTACATGGTAGTAGCGAAATTTTCAATAGGCCATGTAAAATGCCATTTACATAGAACATAAAGCAAAGCTGTTAAACAATAAACATGCAGGCAATATAACTTTTAACATGTAACTTTAACTAACGATCAATTGCTGGTTTTCAGTGTCACGTCATTCAAAATAGATCAAAATCAAACTCAAAACCATTCAATAGATAAAGTCCAGAATCTGGGAAATGAAAGGAGGTACATACACAAAGACCCTCGCCAAGATTCAGGTTAGAGGAATATTTCGTATACGCGAGATATCCGAAGAAATGTTTCACCCAAACTTATAGAGATTTGTATGGAGACGCCATGCTGGTGCTCACCTGGATGAGCTCCAACTGGCGGACGGAAACCAACAGAAACATCTGTTACCGAGTTTTGCCACAAAAGCGTGAATTTATTCTTCGAGAAACTCATAAACATTAAAGTAATACTTTTTCTAATACATGAACTGTTTAGATAGCAAAATTTCCCGAAATAAGTCATTTTTTTAACCTACATGAAATGTAGCGTCACGCAAAAGCTTAGAAATTCAACCGTAATCTATCACAAATTCAAGAACCCTTTTGAAGCGAAAATTTTTATGAAAATTAGTTTTCAGCTGCTCTAATGCATTGTGCAAGTAAAATCTCGGTAGGATCGATAGTTTTTTAGTTTGAATTTTAATGACGTCATGTGAAAACCAACAATAGATGGTTTCTGCTGACATGAATTTGGTGCAACGCAAATGCACCATTTAGTCGCACTTTAGTCTCCGAAGTAAACCATTTCCGCGGTAACAGTTCTTTTCATACAAGTGCCCTAACTGAGGTTTTCAGCGTATAACATGCAAAGCCTGTATATGTTAAAAATATTGCAGCGTTGAATATTTTTTTAACCTCAGCTCGACCCTTCTGAAGTGTATGCCAGGGAAAGATTACGTACGTTTTTGAGTTTTCTTGAGTTTTCAACCGAATTTATGGCAGCAAATAATTTTTAATTAGACGTAAAATGTTGCTTTTTTATATTGGCCAGGCGGTAACCTAGTAAGCTAAGGAGTGAAAACATAGAAAGAAAATCAAAATATTATTTTGAAAAAGTAGTTTTCTTGAAGGTTTAGGTTTCTTGCTAATCAACTTGTTTCAATCTGAGAGAAGACTTACGTCAGCGTTAGTTTTTATTAAGCAGCTGGCTTTCTGGCTGATCATGATAAAAGTGGGTGTACAATTACTTTCAATCAAACATGGATCGGGTTTTGTTAATTATGACAGAATGTAATTAAAAAGCATTATGTTGACAGCTACAAGGCACATGCTTGCCTCAAGCTACGGGTATCCCGCCATGTTTTAAACAAAGGGCTTCCGACCAAGGCGGCATTCTAATCCGCCACAAATATGTGAAGCACGCGTCTTTCAAAGTCGCCTAGTACTTAAAATCGGGGCTCTGGCCTGTTAGATGTGAAACTATTGAAACCTCTATCTTGAAATCAACACAGTGTCGAGCTTTCGCGACTTTCGAGAAACGGGCTCCAGGACATGAAAACCTATCAAAGTGTTAGCGTTTGATAAGAGTGGATAATTGGACCGAGTTCTTGGTAAGGAAGTATCTTCCATATTTAGCAAATTTAATGGCTAACTAGAAACCGACATATTTTAGTTATGTGCCAATGTAGTTACCGTAACTTCCAGAAGTCTGTAGGTATAAAGTCAGGCTCTCGCTCTACGGCGAATGTCACCAATACAAGTGGCCAATAAAATTACAACGCCACTGCAAACCGCTAAAATAACCTTTTTGTTTGAAATTCTTATCGTTTGACGATTCAGGTCTCGCTCCAGTTCCTGTTCAAGAGCTTTCGTACTAAAAACTGATGTTTCGAATATTGATAGCTGACAAGTGCGTTTTAGATATTGAAATCATACTGTTTCGCTAGAATTACCTTTTTCTATATTAATAATTACTGTAATTTGACGATTTTTTTTTCGTAGACTTGCTGTCTCACTACATGAGACAAAATGAGCGCCAGCACACTGTTAGGGGTGCTCGGTCAAATTCGAGGTGTAATAGAGCATTCCCGGGGAGGGGGTAATCGACCAACATTTTGGTATAGCTGAGTTACGGAGAGTTTGAAACCCTGACCCTGTTTAGGACAAAACCCTCGAGTTTAACACCCTGTTTAGGAGAGAGGACGTGGACACAGTTTAGGAAAGACTTGCGCGAAATTGCATACCCTGGTAAGGGCAGACTCGCGCAATTTTGGACAGAGAGGTCAAGAACCATACCCTCTCCAGAGGCTTATACCTCCCACGTAAAGTCCATATAAGGGAGTACCCCCCGGGCAGAGCATTACCATTACAATCCAGACGATGAACCTATAGTCACTGCGCAATCATGATTTGAGTACAAAGGCCGCTTTTCATCCCGCCGCGACGTGTTGCTGAGACAAGTCGCTTTATGTGTTGAAACAGTGGTGTTAAATAACAAGGAACTTTAAAGGGCCTACATCTATCCATGGCAAAAATATTTCGGTTTTGCCTTGCGCGCTTCAGATTCGAATTTATTTAGTTCCAACTGTGTTATTTTCTTCATCTATTCTACCCAGTGAAATAAGGAAAATGAGCACCAGCACACTAATAGAAGTGTTTGGACACATTTTGTACAGTTTTACTAGAGGTGTGACTGAACATTACAATCCAGATGAACCTGAATTTACCGCAGAATTATTTGGTTACAATTCTCTGGAAAGCACAAAACGAGAATGGTATTGTCCTCCTGTTGATGAACTTATTTACCAAGAATACAGCGACAGAGAAGCCACAAGCTTAGATTATCTGGCTTCTTGTAGTTTTGATGTTAAAGTAACTGACGCCTGCTCAACAGAAGAAAACGAAGAAACCCAGGAAGCTTTGAAACAAAGTAAAGACCAAACCATGGCTTGGAAGCGACTGCGACCTTCTCTTCTGCAAACAGTTTTTCAATCTATATACATTGGAGCTCTGATTTCACTTTTAATGGCTATCTTCGTAGGAACAATTTTTACGATGGAGTTGTATTTATTTTTGAAAACTGCACACAACTGTGAATACAACACTGTGAACTCAACCTCAGTACAAATACAGTGGATAAGATCAGTTTCGGATATAATTGCTTGTAGTTTTAATTATTTTTGGTTTTTCATTCTCGTGCTGTTTCTTTTTCGTCCCTTTCAGTTGAAGGGGATCAGACGAAAACTTTTCCTGGTGTGCTTAATTTCATATGCTTTGGACGCAATTTATCGTGTTGCTCTCCAAGGCCTTGGTATTTCTCATTCCCATATTTCTTACCCATTAAGAATTCCGCTCAAGGCTTTTTTTTTCAGCAATCAGTGTCTGCAAGTTTATATTTTAACAAAGTACCTCTGCCCAGGTTCACGAAAGAAATTGGTTTTATTTTTCAAAATGATAGTACCAAGTTCTTTGGGTCTCTTAGCTGCCATCCTTGGGGTGTACTTACTTATATATCCAGCATACATGAAAGAAAATTCAAATGGGAAACTTTTAATTGCAACCTTTTCTCCTCTCCTTGGAGTTGTGGTAAAAGTAGCCTCTCGTATTTGTGTTCAAAAGTTGTATATCACTCATCCGGGATACTCGTACGTCTTATTATCACCGGTCTATTTTGGGGCGGCTGTCCTTTTTCGAGTTTTGCAAGCGGATCTCGGCAGTTTACAAGCCATAGCTTTACTTGGAATAATTCACGGTGCTGCAGAAGTCATTGAACGAAGCACTATGGTTTTAATAGATCACATTTGTCATATGTTGTGGAAGAGAAGATCCACTCCTTGGGGAAGTTTTCGTACTCCTCGTAGTGAGAGACTAATGGCTGATATCGCTATCATGAGTATGTTGTATGAATCTGCTGCTATAGTGTCGCTGAATGGATTCGTATACTTATATCAGTTCATATATGTAAGGGAAGAGAAATTGAACAATTTACTTCCGTTATTTGCAATTAATACGGCAGTTCCCCTTGCGATTGAGTGGGTGTTTAACAGCGTGTCTCTAGCGATTGAGAGTCGGTATCAAAACATGGCTGTCATGGCTGTTTGGCGAAGACGATGGAGGCGACACCTTCTAGTGGCGATTGCAAATGCGATTCCAATTGCTTTGTTTACAGGCGGTACTCTCTTAGATATTTTACATGGTAGTAGCGAAATTTCCAATAGGCCATGTAAAATGCCATTTACATAGAACATAAAGCAAAGCTGTTAAACAATAAACATGCAAGCAATATAACTTTTAAAATGTAAGTTTAACTAACGATCAATTGCTGGTTTTCAGTGTCACGCCATTCAAAATAGATCAAAATCAAAATCAAAACCGTTCAATAGATAAATTCCAGAATCTGGGAAATGCTGGAAATGAAAGGAGATACATATACAAAGACCCTCGCCAACATTCAGGTCAGAGGAATATTTCGTATACGAGATATCCGAAGAAATGTTTTACCCAAACTTATAGACATTTGTATGAAGACGCCATGCTGGTGCTCACCTAGATGAGCTTCATCATGGCGAACGGAAACCAACAGAAACATCTGTTACCGAGTTTTGCCACAAAAGCATGAATTTATTCTTTGAGAAAGTCTTAAACTTAAAGTAATACTTTTTCTAATACATGAACTGTTTAGACAGCAAAATTTCTTGAAATAAGTCATTTTTTTAACCTACATGACAGCTCTCTTGGACGTCATGTAAATGCACCGTCACGCAAAAGCTTAGAAATTCAAGCGTACTGTATCACAAATTCAAGAACCCTTTTGAAGCAAAAATTTTTATGAAAATTAGTTTCCAGCTGCTCTAATGCATCGTGAAAGTAAAATCTCAGTAGGATCAATAGTTTTTTAGTTTGAATTTTAATGATGTCATGTGAAAGCCAACAATAGATAGTTTCTGCTGACATGAATTTAGTGCATCGCAAATGCACCATTAGACTTAAATGTTGCTTGTTTTATATTGGCCAGGTGGTAACCTAGTAAGCTAAGGAGTGAAAAACGTAGAAAGAAAATCGAAATATCAATTTGAAAAAGTAGTTTTCTTGAAGGTTTAGGTTTCTTGCTAATCAACTTGTTTCAATCAGAGAAGACCTACGTCATCGTTAGTTTTTAGAAAGCAGCTGGTTTTCTGGCCGATATAAAAGTGGGAGTATATAACACTGAAGTACAGAGAGTATTCTACTTGACAACGTAAGAGAGTCAACTCCAATCCAATAAAGAGCAACTGAGAGTCAATAACAAGCAGTTGTCTTTTGATATCTGGGCTCTGGGCCTATTAGATGAGCCGAGTAAGTGAGAGGCATCTATCGTAGGATTTCAGTTAAAATGCTCATATCTCTAAATTATCATCTCCACTTATGTCCAGAAATGCATGCAATGGCGAAAATGGCGAAACTGGCGAAAAATCGCCAGCCGCTGGCGATTTGAATTGGATGCCAAAAGTGGCCCCTTGGAGACTGGCGATTTTGGCGAAATTGGCGATTTTGGCAAAAATCGCCAGAGGGCTGGCGATATGTGGCAAAATATTCAAATTGGATGCCAAAAGTGGCCCCTTCAAAGTAGATAACTAAAGAGGTCCTTATAACTGTGAGGCAACAATACTAAAAAAAAGTTCAAATTACTTGCCTAATAAGAGGCCCCAATAACTGTGAGGCAACTTTTATCAAATACAACTGAATCAAATATATGACAAAACAGCTTTACCTAAATGTCAAACAACATTATTTTATCAAATACAACTGAATCAAATATATCTGAAAACAACAAATGGTAGTCGTTTCAGTTAAGCTAATATGTATTTGTGCCATGTACTTCACAGGTTAAGTAAACATTTCCTTACTTTCGATGTCGCTTGACTCACCAAAAGTGATGTGATGCGCTGAAAGATCACACTAGCATCATTTGCTTTTGTATGGTTCATTCCTTTCAAAGACTTACAAGTCCCACTTATTACTCGAGGAGAGAACTACCAAGTCCTTAAAATCATAATAATTCCTTGCCATGGACACTCTAACTTTTGAGGTTCGATGTAGACCTTAACAATCCTCACTGGTTACAATTCTCTTCACATTGGTTCCATTAAATTGTGAGGCAGCCTTAAATCAAAAGCGATTGCGAAACGCATGGTTCCTGGCTAAAAGATGCTTTCACGATAACCAGTGTGGTGTGTGCCCTTCATTCTTTTTTGGTTCTCCACTATACACATTATCTTCTTCCGTCGTTTTAAACTCTTCAATTTCTTCTCGCACTTACTTGTTCTGCTCTTTAGAGAAACGGTCCCCTAAAAGTAACGAAAGCCGAAAAGTCCAGCAACTTGCATGCGCCATTTTGAAATGTGTGAATTCGCTTATTTCCAATTTATGTAAACCTGCACGAAATGTCACTTGTGC